GAGTGCACTCCAAAATAACAATAAAAAGTGTAGTATAGTAAAATACATAAATGAGCAACATGGTTATTTATGATCATTATCAAGCACTACGACGTTATAACTGCTACAGCGTCACTAGGCGATAGGAATTTTCAGCTCCATCATAATCTCACGGGACCACTGTCATTGACCGAAACATCATTATGCACCAAATGTATGAAATCATCTCCCTGTAGTCAGGCAAATTGTTCTCAGTGCCCAACCTGTTAATACGGCATTATAAATGCTGAGCATCTTTGGGCCAGCTCACCTGGACACACCTGGGTAGGTGATCAGAATAGCTGGGTCACATGTCACTGAGGAAGACCCATAACCAGTAGTGGCAGTACCTGTTTCCACTGCCTTCATAGTGGACAGTACTCACTTCCCAGGCCTCCATCAACACCTGTTTTTCCTAACCTGATGGGTAAAATAGTACATCTGTGATTTCAGCTCAGGCAGGGCTTGTTTACCTGTAGTAAGCACTGTGACTTCAGTGAGCCACTATTTCTGGTGGAAACATCTCTATCCCTGGTGTGGGAGCAGGAAAAATGTGGACACCTAGTAGTCAAACCATTCTTCATTGTTGTTTATAAACAAGAAAGCGGATGTTCCCACAGCTAGTCAGCAGCGGGTAAGAACCAGTATCAAGGGAACCAAATCTGAGTACAGGACTTTCTATACTGTGTTCTTAAAAAATGTCAGTGGCATTAAACCCATCTGTTGTCAATAAGGTATGTCTCTTTTCTGGGTTTTGGAAACAAGGTAAGTTTGATGCTGAAAAATAACACTCAAATTCTAAAATGCGTTTTTCTTGACTCCTTCTTGGTTGTTGCCACAGCCTCCAGCTAGGAGGTAATTTCTGTTAGTACTCGTTATTGAGTTTGGGGAGCCCATACTTTGGTGTCGTACAGAGCATTTGAATCACTGGTTGAGAGGGGTGCTGTTGGAAAGCTGTGTGTCTCAGGCACAGGACCAGGCTCCTGGACAGGCAGGGTCAGATGGCTGGCCCTGTCACTCATAGCAGCTGGAGTGCAAGAGGAGACTGGTACTTTTGTAGAGTACAGAAATTCAGAGACTCCCTTGGTTGTAAACATGTCAGCTGAAAGATTATTCATAACAGGGTAAAGCCAGTGACGAAGTCTACCTGTGGCAAATCATAGGTGAATGGTTACGTCAATAATGATGGATTACTATGCCAGCTAAGTACCTCATAAACTCACGATGTCATGTTTGTGTTAAAAAATTTAAGTAATTTGTGCACTGTCTGTTGGAGTGTAACTTAGGAGACCTTTTTTTTTTTTGGAAGAAAATTCCAAACACGTAAATTTTAAGCATGATCCAGCAATTATTCTTCTAAAAGGATTGTCCTACTGAGATCTTGCACAGGTATACAAAGTTTTGCCCAAGAGGCTGTTCACTTCAGCAGTGTTTGTACTAGGAAGTATTGGAGAGGATCCAACTATCCATGAACTGAAGGAAAAATACCTCAAGGTATATATATGATTATATATCTTACAACCATGGAGGGAATGAGGTCAATCCAGCCTGTCTGTATGACATGGAAAGATGTACAAGGTGCTGTGTTAAGTCAGATGCAGGCAGAATGTATGTGCCATCCCAGGGCTCTCAGACTCATGTGCATGCAAGTGCAGAGGAGAAAATTTGCAGAGTATCTACACCGACTGTCAGCTGTGGTTTGCAGAGGAATGGGGATTAGAAAAGACTTCCACTTTCTAATTTAACTCTGTAGTGCTCACAGTGTTTTACATATATGTGTAGATCACACATTTGGAATCAGGAAAAAACTCAAGATTACTAAATTAAAGTACCAAGTCACATAGACCCATGCTCCTAAAAGGCTGGAAATTATACTGACAATGTCATTCCAGTCTTATAAAAAATGCATGTAAAGGACCTGGGAAGAACTAATTAGTGCAAGCCACTGAAGATAATTGCCCTGGGTAGACGGCCTGCAGAGGGTTTGAATTTTATTGGTCTTCTATATTTTCCAAGTGTTTTCCCCTCTTTGTGTTTTCTTTTTTCCCAAGTGTTTTTATTAAAAGTGAATTAGCTTCCAAATTGGAAGAAAAAAAGTTATGGGCTTTAATTTTGGACTTTGGAAAGGTTAGAAAGCGCCAGCAAGGAGCCCTGGGCCGTGTATGTACGTGTGTGTATGTGTCTGTCCGTCCGTCTTTGTTTCTTAGAAAGCTCAGCTCCTGTGCTGTCTCTGAGCAGGATCCCAGCAATTGGGCTTAGGCAAGGGCATGGACGGGATGCTGCCTGTTTGGGCTGAGTCTGTGGGAGGCGGGACTCCTGAACTACTGGTCTGGATGGCTGAGGGATTACTGCTTGGGGCCGGGGTGGGGGGCGAGGCGAGGTAATGAGGAGTCAGGGTGGAGTCAGGGTGGACCTGCTGTGCCCAGGCAGTGTCCAGCACAGCATCCAGCCTCCTCCTGTGCCTGGCTCAGACCTGTGGCCTGGAAGAGAGTTGTGGTCTCTCTGATTATGTGGGGGCCACAGGGCAAACGTTCAAGTTCTTCAGGAAAAGAGGAAGAGGATCACCCAGTGTGGGTGTCGGGAATGCTTGTTTGGTGGGGACAGGGAGGGAAATCCACTTTGAGATAATATAAAAATAATTAAATGAGATTTTTAAAACAAAAAATGGGGTTGTACCTTGAGACTTGAGAACCAGAATTCTCTCTTTTTCATAATGTGCCTTGGTCAGGTTTCCAAGTAGCTCCAAAAGAACCCTGATTCTCAACAGTTTTGAAAGTTTTGGAGAATATTAGTCATCATAACCATGGTGAGGGTGGAGGAGGGCACTACAGGCATTGGATTTTCCATGTCCTCAAGACATTGGCCCATCTCATAGAAACCTGTTCATAATTATCTGAGCCCAGAACTTCGTGCTGTGTTAATGTAAAGTCAACCTATTTTTGGTACATTTTTAAAAAAGATTTTATTTTTTAGAGAGAAGGGAGGGAGGGAGAAAGAGGGAGAAAAACATCAATGTGCGAGAGAGTCATCAGTTGATCAGCTGCCTTTTGTGCACCTGCAACCAGGGACCTGGCCTGCAACCTAATCATGAGCCCCGGCAGGGAATCAAACTGTCCACCTTTCAGCTTGCAGGCCAGCACTCAACTGACTGAGCCGCACCAGCCAGGCCTGTGTATGGTTTTGATACACTCTGAGTGTAGAAGGTCACATTATCTCTTAATTTCACTTAGGGCAGTAAATGGGGTGCATTTATAATTTAGATAACATTTGTAAGTTCAGTTTTACACAGTCACAACAATGCCACCTCTCAGGTATATGTTTGCACACTTGTGTTTGTTTTTCTGTAGGACACGTTCCTAGATGCAGAATTCTGAGTGAAAATAAAGGAATGCATTTTTCATTTTCTTACATTGTCAGATTACCTCTTAGAGGAGGTTAATACCCATGGACAGTGTGTCAAGACACTCGTTTCCCCATACCCTGGCCAGCACTTGCTATTAGCAGTCATGAAAATGCTTGCCAGTCTGAACAGTGGGGGATGGGGGATGATATCTCATTTTCATTCTCAACTTTTTCTAAAATCATATTTTATTGATTATGCTATTATAGTTGTCCTGGTTTTTCCTCCTTTGCCCCCTCCACCAGGCACTCCCCACTCCCTCAGGCAATCCCTACACCATTGTTCATGTCCGTGGGTCATGCGTTTAAGTTCTTCGGATGCTCCATTTCCTATACTGTATTATACATCCCCATGGCAATTCTGTAACGACCTTTTTGTACTTCTTAATCTCCTCACCTCTTCACCCATTTCCCATACCCCCCTTCCATCTGGCAACCATCAAAACATTCTCTGTATCCATGATTCTGTCTCTGTTCTTGTTTCCTTAGTTTGTTTTTTAGATTCAATTATTGGTAGATATGTATATTTTGCCATTTTACTGTTCACAATTTTGATTGTCATTTTTTCTTACCTAAGTCCCTTTAACATTTCATATTATAATGGCTTGGAAGTGATAAACTCCTTTAGTTTTTTCTTGTCTGGGAAGCTTTTTATCTGCCCTTTGATTCTAAATGATAGCTTCACTGAGTAGAGCAATATTGGCTGTAGGTCCCTGCTTTCATGATTTTGAATGTTTCTTGCCAATCCCTTCTAGCCTGCAAAGTTTCTTTTGAGAAAGCAGGTGACAGTCTTGTGGGAATTCTCCTGTAGGTAACTTCTTTTCTCTTGCTGACTTTAAGATTCTATATTTATCTTTAAGCTTTGGCATTTTAATTGTGATGTACTTGGAGTGGGCCTCTTTGCATCCATCTTGTTTGGGCCTGTCTGTGCTTCCTGGACTTACATGTCTATTCCTTCATTAAATTAGGGAAGTTTTCTTTCATAATTTTTCAAATAGATTTCCAATTTCTTGCTCTTTCTCTTCTCCTTCTGGCATCCCTATGATATGAATGTTGGACCCCTTGAAGTTGTCCCAGAGTCAGCTTATACTATCCTCATTTTTCTTTTTTTTGGAGTCTTTTTTCTTGTTGTTGTTCTGATTGGTTGTTTTTTGCTCCCTTATGTTCCAAATCATTGATTGATTCTCGGCTTCATCCACTCTACTGTTGTTTCCCTATAAATTGCTCTTTATTTCAATTAATGTATCCTTCATTTATGACTGGATCTTTTTTACGCTGTTGAGGTCCTCACTAAGTTCCTTGAGCATCCTTATAATTAGTATTTTGAACTCTACATCTGATAGATTGCTTATTTCCATTTTGTTCAGTTCTTTTCCTAGAGTTTTGATCTGTTCTTTCATTGGGCCATGTTTCTTTGTCTCTTCATTTTGGAAGCCTCCCTGTGTTTGTTTCTATGTATTAGGTAGAGCTGCTATGACTCCCTGTCTTGGTAGCTTGGCCTAATGTAGTAGGTGTCCTATAGGATCCAGGGCCACAGCTGCACTGTCCTGCCCCTGGTCTGACATGCCCTTTGCCTTCTGCAGGAAGCTTGGAAGCATGCAATTGAGAAGGCCAAGCACATGCCTGACCCCTGGGCTGAGTTCCACCTGGAGGACATTACCACTGAATGTGCCACACGTCACAGGTCAGCAGCTTGTCTGGGGTTGCTGTAGGGTCCCAAGGCTCAGGAGTCCTTGGGGTATGGGTCCTGCTTCCACTCAATCAGTGAGGTCTGACTGCCCTTGGAGATCAAGGAGAAAGGAATAATAATAACATCAGCCAACATTTGACTGTGTATGCTTCAGGTACTATGCACTGTCTCATTTAATCCTCACCATGGTCCTATAAGGTATGTATTTGACAGACTAGACTGAGCTGTGCTGCAGTAACAAATACCCCCAGTGCTAAACGCAACAGTGGTGTGTTTTTCACTCAGATGAAGGTGAGTAGGAGCTGAGCAGCTCTTCAGGGTGACTTCCATCTTGTTGCTCCATCATCTCAGTATGAGACCCTTACTAGTGCTACTGGAAAGAAGAGCCTGAAGGGTAGCATACCAGCCTTTTAATGCCTTTTAATGGCCCCAGGAAGATTCACAAACGGAGTTGCGAGTGTCTAGATTTCATGTTTGAAAATGCAGAGGGAGGAAAGAGTGTTTTTAGGGGGTTTCAGGAAGAAGAACAAAAAACAAAACAAAAAAACACAAAATGCCAGCACTAATGTAATAAGAGTAACGAAGACAGTCATGAAGAGGAACCTTATTTATTGAATATTTCATGTGTCAGGCACTGTTTTAAGCATTCTGTATGTATTTCATCATTAAGAAAAGCCTAAGTAGGAATCATGCCAAGCATTTGGGGCCCCTTTTGAGAATCTGATGAGGTCCATCTCAGAAAGTTGCACACATATGTCTAATTTTGCTCATAATTTTAGAGGACTCAGGGACCTGTCCTGGAGCCCACCCCTGTCCCATGACTCTGTAGACCCCTCCAGCTCTGAACAATCCAAGCCAGTCCTTTCAGGGGGAGTGGGGTTTGCAAGGGGTCACCAGGTGGTTATTGGGTTGGCCAAAAAGTGCGTATGGTTTTTTCCATAAAAGAAGACTCATTTTTCATTTCCACCAATAACTTTTATTGACTTAGATATTTTGAGTAAGTCAGCAATCTCCTGCATGGTACAACATTGATTGTTCACAATTAATGTCTCAAGTTGATTGCTGTCACCTTCAACTGGCCTACCCAACCTTGGAGCATTGTCCAGTGAGGAATCTCCAGCACAAAACTTCTCAAACCACTTCTGACACTTTTCATCAGTCACAGCACCTTCTTCCTACACTGCACAAATCTTTTTTGCATTTCAGTTGTGTTTTTACCTTTATTGAAATAATAAATCATAATATGCCAAAAATGTCGCTTATTTTCTTCTCTCTTCAATATTAAAATGGCTACACAAAAATTCACACATTTGGTAAGTTTTGTTTTAAAATGCACACTGATATGACAGCTGTCACAATACAATCTAACAAAATTGTTTTGAATGAAGTTAAAGACAACTAAGTACTATTAGGGCCATGATACAGAAAAATCCAAATGAACTTTTGGCCAATCCAATAATAAGCTTAACTTCTGACTCGGTCCAGTACCTTCAAATTAGTCAGAACTCTGTTTCAAATGCAATAGCAGAAACTGAATACACAGTGGCTTAAGGATAGAAGGGAGTGTTTGGTTCATGTACAGGTGGAGCAAAAGTAGATTTACGGTGGGAGTACACAAAACACAGAGTTTATTCTTTTATTATTATTTATTATTGTGTTATTTTCCATACAAACAACTGTAAACCTACTTTTGCCCTACCATGTATGTGGGCTTAAGGCATGGCTGGTTCCAGATGCTCCAAGGATGCTTTTGGCTTTGACCTCAGACAGACTCTCATCAGTGGCTCAGAGGCCTCCTGGGAACCCCACATTTCATTTCACACAGTGGATCTTTTCTTTATCAAATTTTTTAAACAAAAGTTCCATACTTCACTCTCACTGATGTGGCTTTGGTTATATGCCCTCCTGTGAACCAGTCATTGTACCGGGGAGTGTTGCTCTCATTGGCCAGGCCTAGTTGCATACCACCAGCCAGGGTGCTGAGAATCAGCCCCATCCATTACACATATTCTGAGAATGGAGGACAGGGTTTCCCAAAGGAATAATCTGGGGTGCTGTTGCCAGAAGAAGGGGGAACGGATGCAGAAACAGTGTATCTAAGCCTGTGAGGAGAGGCTTAGATCCCCACATGCACCCCTCCTCACTGCTGGAGGCCCACCCTGTAGTAGGCTCTGGGATCTGTGCCAGCAGCCAAGGTCAGCATTGTGGGGGCCCCTGAAGGGAAGAGGTGAGTTCTGTTCCTTCTTGCCTATAAGGGCAGCGTAGTGGCTGGCTGGTGACACATGGCCTCCAGGCAGATGTAGCTGGACTGGCTCTGAGTGTCTCAGCTCTGCAGGGACCTGGGACCAGGGGCCAAGCCAACCTATGTTTATTTCTTAACCAAAATGTCTGCCTTTACCTGCCCTGGCTGCTAGTGGAGGGTGGTCAGGCTTGATGTCTAGAACCTGCAGAGTTTTCTAAACTGGGGGCTTCCTTGTGTATTCTTGTATTTGAGAGCACCAATGCAGGCTCTCCTTTTGGGGCAGATTTCCTGTTAATGTGGGTTGTGCACAGGCTGATTAAGAGCAAGGTTCTGGTTGAAATTAATCTGAGTTTGAATCCCGGCTCTTGTGCAGGTTAATTCACCTCTCTGAGTCTGTTTCCCCATCTAGAAAGTGGATACAGTAACTGTGCCAGTCTCATAGGGCTGCTGCAAAGTTTGGTTGAAGATACTAGTTTAAGCACCCAGCATACAGTGAACACTCCGCCCTTCCAGCAGCTCTGTCCTTTATGACGCCAGTGGTTGTGAAGGACAAATAAGATGCTGCATACCCCCACCCCGCCCCTTTCAGGCGCCTCTTGGTTTTCAGCCTCTTTTGAAGGTGACAGAAGATTATTTTCCTTACCTTGGTCTCTACATAGTAGTAATAATTATTATTGCTATTATTTATTGAGCGTAGTACCTGGCATGGGCTAGTGGTGAGCCTTCCTCCTGTCAGACCTGGCGGGGGGCGGGGGTGCCTACGTTTGCCATCCTTCCTCATGGAGGTTTCAGTCTCCAAGAAGCTCTCACTGGTGTTGGGAGAGTTCTCGAGTCTGTCTGCCCTGCTTAAGGGAGGGCGAGGGAGATCTCTGCTAGAGCTAGGAACACTTCAGTCCTGGGGGACATTTTACAATAGAGATTTACTGAGCTAAGTAAGGTGATTTCTACCAGGCAAACCTGTTTGAGGTTCAGCCAGACCTATGGGCAGATGGGATAGGGAGAGAGGATTCCTGGGAAAGGAGAGATGGAAATGTTCTGGAACCCTTTCCATCCCTCTTTGCTTTGGCTGTTCATCCAGCAGCTGGCTGCTTACGCTGTACAGTTACCAGATGCACCTGGCTACCAGGGCTGGGCTGGGCTATGCACAGGTGACTGGCAAGATTGAGGACACTGCCACCCTCGAACGTCCTAGGACATACTATTTGTTATGTAGCCCGATTACAATAAGGATATTTACTTATTCAGTCATTCATGCAGTGTGTATTTGTGAAGCATTGGCACACACACCAGGCCTTGTAGTGAACAGGGCAGACATGGGCCTGCCTATGTGGTTTCTCAGTCCGGGGGAGCCTGCCCATGGCCCAGCAGTAAGTGCCAGGAGCCTGTCTTTGAGGTGGGGAAGGAGGCCAGTGTGTGGGGGCCTGGGAGGATGAGAAAGTGTCTGCAAACCCAACTTAGGAGGTCAGCTGGGCCACTGAGTAGAGTGGGCTTGATCCGGAGGCAGTGGGGAGCCTTTAGCCAGTAAGTGACAGGGCCAAGGGATGGATGCTGCACCCTGTGGGGTTCTGATCTCTACAGGTACAATGCTGTCACCAGGCAGTGGCTGGAGGATGAAGTTCTGATCAAGATGGCGTCTCAGGTGAGTAGAACTTCTAGCCCAGAGGGGCAGGACTGAGTGGGGTTTTCTCAAGATGATTTCAGTTCATGTTTCCTCTCCTCTACACTGACTTTGTTTTTTTTTAACTTTGGGGAATTCTTTATAGTATTGTATATGTAACTTTTTATAACAGATTTATTGAGGTATAGTTCACATATCATACAACATACTGATTTGAAGTGTATGGTTCAGTAGTTTTTAACATGTCACAGAGTTGTGCAGCCATCACGACGATTGATTCCAGAACATTTTACTCTCTCCAAATGAAACTCCACATTGTAGCCATTATAGTCAGCACCCTGTTACCTCCTCTGTGCCCAGCCCTGGGCAACCACTATGCTATCTTCTGCCTCTATAGATATCCCTATTCTGGACATTTCATATATTCATCATATATCAAAATACCCTTCTTGGCACTCCTGTTGAAAATCAGTTGACTGTAAGTAGCTGTATCAGTTTTCTAAAATTACAAGTCACCACCTATTGCTGAGTTGCAACATGAATTTAATGGCTGGCCATCAGCCTTTTGAAAAAAGAAATAGACTAGAAAATAGAGGACTTCTTGCATAGTTAGGGGAAGGGTTGTTTTGTGAAACTTTAATCTTTAGTGTTCTGCACATTGTAGAAAAACATACAGATAAGTGGGTTTCACAGAGTGAACACATGTGTAACCAGCACCCAGAGCAGGACACAGAGTGTCACCAGCACCCCAGCAGCCCCTCAACCCAGTCACTACTTCTTCACATATGAGGGTCAGCACGAGTCTGAATTGTCACCCTAGGTCAGCTTTGCCCATTTTTGCATTTCATATAAATGAAGTCATATAGTAGCTGTGCTTTTTAGCATGGCTTCTTTTGCTCAACATTCTGTCTATGAACTTTGTACATATTTTTGCTAGAACTGTAATATTTTCATTCTCAATGTTGTGCAGTATTTCACCAAATGAATGAATGTAATTTATTACACCATTGATGGACATTTGGGTTCTGTTACAGACAGGGCTGCAAACACATCCCTTGACATGCACTGTCTCCCCTACCCCATCACCCCCAAAACATCTTCACCCCCCTGGGAGTTCTTCCACTTAGCTGGGGTTGGGAAATGGGGTGGTCTCTTATCCCTGCAACCTCCAGTCTTGGAAGTTCTGCCAGGCTTCAGTGCTGGGGTATAGAAGGGAGGGCCAGAGATACTAGGATTGAGATGAGGTCCATTTGGTGAGTGCCATCCAGGGGGAAATGTCCTACTGACACGGGGTTGATTCTGGGTGGGGCAAAGGGACTGATAACCCCTTCCTTGTGGTGTCTTTCAGCCCTTTGGCCGTGGAGCAATGAGGGAGTGCTTCAGGACGTAAGTGACAGCCTCTTCCCAGCTCCCTGCCCAGGTTCCCTCAGGCTCCTGAGAGCAGGGTCATTGTGACATTTCTGGCCTAGGAATGGAGTCAGTGGCCTCTGCTTCTTGTAGCCCACATTCCTCTCTATCTGGTCTCCCTTGGACCACATGTTGGGCCTGGCAGTGGGGATGAGCTCAGGAAGAACAAATAGTATCCTACTCATCACCGCTCTGGTCCTTGGAGACCAAGGGGTGTGGGATAGGAGACCTTTACCAGTGTCCCTTAAGTCCCGGGCTCAGCTCTGTGAAGCCTGCAGTGCAATATGGAAAGCCCCTCCTACCTCCTGCAGCTTGTTCCTAACTCAGCCAGGTGTCCTTGTCCTGAGGACTCAGGGCTGGGTCCCTGGTGAACCCAAGTGCCCAGGTGGGCCGTGTGCTGCTTCTCTTCCCAGGAAGAAGCTGTCCAACTTCCTGCACACCCCGCAGTGGAAGGGGGCCTCCAACTACGTGGCAAAGCGCTACATTGAGTCAATGGACAGGGACGTGTACTTTGAGGATGTGCGTCTACAGATGGAGGCCAAGCTCTGGGGAGAGGAGTATAATCGGCACAAGCCCCCCAAACAGGTGTGTGGCACTGTCTTTGCCACCTGCCCCCACCAGGGCAGCCAGGGACAGTGTCAGGAGACAAGGGTGGGTGATGGTGATGCCAGTCACAGTTTTTCTTCCTCACCATCTTAACTATAGTAGCTAATAACAACCACCCACTTATCAAGCACAATGGGCCAGGTATTATATATGCAAAAGATCATTTATTTCTCAAAACAGAGGGCTCAGGTTAAGGTGGGTTGGAATGTTTGCATCCTATTTACAAGTGGGATCTAATAATCAGGATTTTTGTTTGCAAATGACAGAAACCCAAAAAGGGAATTTAATCCAAAAAGGAAATACATTGCTTTGCGGGACTGACAAATAGTGCTGACCACAAGCATGGCTAGATCCAGGACCAAGCTGTGGTTGTTGGGGATCTTCCTCCATCTCCAGCTTCTGTGTCCTTCTGTGCTGGCTTCACTGCCAGGCAGCTTTTTGGCTTGCCGTGGAGTGTTGGCTCCTAGCAGCTGTAGCCTTTCTTTCTGTCTTCTCAGCAACTGTGGCAAAGTGACAACACCTGTTTTCCCAGAAGTTCCAATGAAAGTCTCAGTACTGGGTTTCATTGGCTCTGACAGGTGCCCATCTCTGAGCCAATCACAATGGCCAGGGAAAGGGAATATGCAGATGGGGTAGCCCTAAGCCATGTGCCCACCTTTAGAGCCAGGAATGCGTGTCCTTCTGGGGCTGAGAATGTGGTTTCCAAGAAAAAGGAGAAGAGAAGGGGGTGGATATTTTTTCCCGGGGAAACCAGAACCCAAAGGGGTTAAGTGAACTGCTTTAACAGGCAGAGATGGAGCCAGGGCTCAAATCCAGACTTTCCAAACACCAGCCTGGTTGGCCTCTTCACTTTTGTCCCCAGGGTGTTCAGTGGCTGCAGGCCAAATAGAATTTCCTGTGGCATTTGAGGAAATGGCACAATGGGCCTCTGCCCTGCCTAAATTCATAGCTCAGCAGTCCCACTGTGTGAGCACCTACTAGATACAAAGCACTCTCTTGGGTGCCTCAGAAGAGCCACATTTCCAGGCAACCAGCAGAATTCATTGAGCACTTGCTGTTTGCAGGACCCTTAACTAGGTGCATTTAAGGCAAACACAAGAAGCCACTGTCTACCCCTGGCAAGGTAGCTCAGTTGGTTAGAACATTGTCCTGAAACGCCAAGGTTATAGGTTCGATCCCGGATCAGAGCACATACAAGAGTCAATCAATGAATGCATAAGTAGGTGGAACAACAAGTTGATCTCTCTTTTTCATATCAATAAATAAAAATTTAAAAAGCCACGGTCATCACTCTAAGGACTTATGACCCCCCTGAGTAATTAGCCAGTCTCTGGCTAGGCCTCCTTTCTCTTCCTCCCTGAGGCTGTTCCTTGACTCAGGACCTTTGCCCTGGTTCTCAGCCCTGTGTCCTCAGCCCTCATTACAGGTCTCCACGATGCTTGCATGGTGAGCTCCTTCTCTTAATTCAGGTCTCAACTCATAATGTCATCTACTCAGAGACCACCCAGACCATCCTAAATGATGTAGTCCTTCTACCACTGTCACCCTCTGTCATGTCATTCCATTTGTTCTGGTTTCTTTTTTTGGAGCAGTCAGCACTATCTGAAGGAAGCTTGTTTATGTAGTTAATATTTGAATAACCTCTCTCCCCTGAGGGCAGGGATTTCTCTGTCTTATTCACTCTGTACCCTAGTGCCTAGGTGGTCAGTAAATGATAATGTGGTTGAATTGATGAGGGAGAGGATGTGGGTTTTTGAGGAGGAGCTGTCTGTCTCCTTGTGCCTGCCTCCGTGTCGCTGCCTGTTACCCAATGAGCCCTCTGGAAAAGCAAGTGGCCTGCCAGCCGCAGGCTTCCTTGTAGGTAAGGAGCCAGCATTTGGGCAAGCATCCTCTGAGAACTGGCTATACTGCCTCTCAGGCTGGTTTTTGGAACAGGCTGAGTTTAGGGCTGTTCTCAGCCCTCAGCTCTGGGCCCCTTCGGCCTCTGCAGCTCTTGTCTGCCCATCTAGTGATAGCCAAGCAGTTCCCTGGGAGCTCATTTCTTTAGGGAACCCTGGCCTGCTGTAAGTGGCTTTAAGGGGGAATGGTGCTGTGGGCAGGTCCTTGTGTAACAGATCACACGTTAGAGCCGCAGGTCTTTCCTACCCCACTTACACCCAACACAGCACTTACACATTTTCTTCTGTGTACAAAATTAAATATACACTTCGTGCAAAATTCAGCAAGGAAAGTCTAAGTCCCCCACAATTCCCCACCCTTTACCGTTTGGTATATATTACTCTAGAATTGATAATAATGACATCAGCAAACATTGACAGAGTCTTTTGTGCACCGGGAGATTTCACCCTCATGTGAAGTCTGAGATCCTTATCCCACAGGTGAGGAAACAGGCACAGAGAGGTAAGATAACTTGCCCAGACTCACAGTATTAATGTAAGGCACAAGCTAAGTTGCTTTGCAGACACACCTACAAATATGTGCTAATGTGAAATAGTATCTTTCTTATCTAACAGTCCCTCAGTAATGGGGGTGCTTAGGATGCGATGGTGCCTTGCGTCCTTAAGTCACCCAGAGGCCTGGCGCCTTCTGTCTTGTTGTTCTGCTGTCCCCTGAGGGTTGCCCTGGACCCATGGTTCAGTTTTGGCTCACTGGCAGGTGTCTACTTTACAGCCTCAGGAAGGGACCAAAGGAGAGGAGGGCAGGCTGGAATTGCATCATCATGGCTGCTGGCTTCTCATTGGCTGGGCTTGGTCACATAGCTACACCTAGTGGCAAGGCAAGCCAAGCCGAGCAATGTCATCCCTACTGCATGGCTATACATCTTGTTCAAACTCAGGATTGGGTTGTCTTAGTCTGTTTGGACTGTTTATAACAAAATACCACAAACTGGGTAACTTATAAACAACAGAAATTTATTACGGTTTTAGAGGTTGGAAAGTCGAAGATCAGGGTGCTGACATGGTCACGTCCTGTTGGGGACACTCTTCCAGTCCCTTCTGGCTGTGTCTTCACCTGGTGGAAGGGAAAGGGAGCTCCGTGGGTCTCTTTTTTAAGAGTACTCATCCCATTCATCAGGGCTTCACTCTCATGACCTAATGACATTCCACAGGGCCCAGCTCCTAATACCATCACCTTTGAGGGTTAAGATTACAACATGAATTCAGGGAGGGGAACATATTCAGGCCATAGCAAGGGTTTACATTTTTAGAGGAAGAGAGGACAGTGGATTTTGGGGACAGTCAGCAGCTCTGCCTCGGAGAGCTGCTAAGTGATGGAGCTCTGGCGGTCTGGCTCCTCTCAACTCCTCTGCTCCTGCCTTTTGTCAGGGGAGGCTGCTGCAAGGGCCTGTCCTCCTGCCTGATCTGCCTTCCCCCTTACCAGGTGGACATCATGCAGATGTGTGTCATGGAGCTGAAGGAGAGGCCAGGCAAGCCCCTCTTCCACCTGGAGCACTACATCGAGGGCAATTATATCAAGTACAACTCCAACTCAGGCTTTGTTCGTGATGACAACATGCGCCTGACGCCACAGGTGAGGCCCCTGGAGAGAAAGGTCTCTTTGGGGAGGGGTTCTCACCCCCAGAGGCTCTCAAGCTCCATGGAGCATCCCAAAGGACACCCCATGCCAGCTCTGTCAGCCACCCAAAGGTTTCTACCAAATTAAACCAGGACTCCTTCCTTTGTCTTTTCCTCTAAACAACTCCACTGTGCAGAGAAGGCCCCTACCATGAGCAGAGCTAGGGTGTCCCAGTCTCTCAAAGTAGTGGTTGACCAATGTCCACATAGCCTACAGCCTGGTCTCTTGTTACCTTTTCTTTCTTGTCCCCCACAGGCCTTCAGCCACTTCACATTTGAGCGTTCCGGTCATCAGCTGATTGTGGTGGACATCCAGGGTGTGGGCGACCTCTATACTGACCCACAGATCCACACTGTGAAGGGCACTGACTTTGGAGATGGCAACCTAGGTAGCTGGGGAAAGCCAGCCCATATCCATACAGAGCACATACCCTCCCTCAAATCTCCCAGCTCTTTGTAAAGCCAGCAAAAACAGGCCAAGTCGGCATATGGGCCTTGCCAAGGTTGTGGTGATGGGAGCCTAGGACATTTGGAACCCCACACCCCTACTTCAGCATGGTTTACATCTGCCCCTGTCACAAAGCAGAGCCATGCTCCTTACACCAGTACTCTGTCCTCAGGTGTCCGGGGCATGGCCCTCTTCTTTTACTCCCACGCCTGCAACCGGATTTGCAAGAGCATGGGCCTCGCTCCTTTCGACCTCTCTCCAAGAGAGCAGGACACAGTGAATCAGAACACCAAGCTGCTGGTGGGTACCCGGCGTGAGCCTGCTGGGACTGGTGGTGTCCTTCTGCCGCCAGGCTAGCAAACCATGCTTCACTGGGCAACAGAAGCCCAGGCCTGCAATGCTTAACTGGAGAGCATCAGAACTGGAAAGATCTCATCCATGCCCCTCATCCCTCTCAAATCAGTGCACAAGGCTTCCCTGAGTGTACCATTAATACAGTAACTGGGGTCTGCTTGATTTGGGCCCATTTTTTACCATAGTGAGAAGACCAGGTGCATAGAGATTGGGAAAGGTGTGTGTGATGTGTGTGTGTTTGTGTGTGTGTCAACAAATATCTGGACTAGAATTGGACCTGGCTCTCTGGGCACCTCGCTGTGTCTAGGATGTACCCACTCCACCCCCACTACAAGAAAATGTTAGCAAAAACCAGCTTGGGATTCTGAATATGGGAGTGATATCTGTTCCCCCATTCAGGGCTGGGAAATGTGGTTAGTGCTTTGAGGAATGTTGGCTGGCCAGTTCCTATCTGAGATGCCCTTTTGGATTAATCCTCACTTAGTACTTTCAGATTTTCCACCAGTCCCTAAACAGGCATGTATAAGAGCCATAGGGCCGCAGAGTTCAGGGCAAAAACAGGCAACAGGAAGAGCCCCTCACTTCCCAGAGGGTATCTGTGTGACATGAATGCCCCTGTTAATTCTCCAGCAATCAGCCAAGACCATCTTGAGGGGGGCAGAAGAAAAGTGTGGGAGCCCCAGAGTAAGGACCCTCTCTGGGAGCCGGCCACTCCTGCTCCTCCACCTTTCAGAGAACTCTGGAGACGAGAACATGAATGACACGACATTCGACTCTCTCTCTTCCTCCCCATCTTCAGCCACGCCACACAGCCAGAAACCGGACCATCTCCGTAAGTGATTGTTTGGTCCCTGGTCCTTGTTCTTGGAGGGGACAGGTACCAGGTCTACAGAGCTAAACTGGCTTTCACTTAATCTTAGACAATCAGACACACTAACCAAACAGATTCATGGCCCAGAGGGTTTTACAGGTGAGTTCTTTCAATAAGTGTTCAAGATACAGCAGGTTATCTGGATGCTATAAAAACAACCCATATTGTAGAAAATATTTTTCAGTGTGTTTTATGAAACTACTGAAACTTGATAAAACACCAAAAAAGATAACCATATTCAAACCTCACTTACAAATATATAATACAGAAATTCTAAGGTATTAACAAATAAAGATTGGTAGTATCTTAAGGGAATCATCTGTCATAGTCAAATAAGGTTTTCACAGGAATCCGAGGGTTGTTCAACATTTGGAAGTGGATTATCAGCATATGACTAGGTCAAAGGAGAACAACAATAGTTATTTCTGAAGTTGAAGTGACAGTTTGCTGATGATGTGGATGTGGCGTGTGCAGGAAAGAGGGAGGCAACGCTGATGTCAAGGTCTGGCCTGAGAACTGCAAGGATGGTACAGCTGTTTGTTCAGCTGGGGGTGCTTTGGGGGAGCAGGAGAGGATTCAGTGTCAAATGTTAAAGAAGCTTTAGGCATCTCCACTGGAAGGCCATGGGAAGAGTCTGGAACAGGAGTTGACAAACTTGTTCTTAAAAGGACAAAGTAAATATTTTAGGCTTTGTGGACCATAGGTCTCTGCATTTGCAATCTGAACGCCCCCACAGACAATGCTTAAGCAAACGTGTGGCTGTCCTTTCAATACTCCGTTTGTGGACATTGAGGTTTGAATTTCATATGATTTTCACATATCACAAGATGTTCTTTTGATTTTTTTCCAAACATTTAAAACAGTAAAAACTATTCATAAAAACTATTTAAAAACAGAAGATAAGCCAGGCTTGGCCTGTGGGGGCTTGATATGGCTTGATATGATGGGATCAGCAGAAAATGGTGGGTGTTGAAGCCATCTGGAGCTTCCCTACTTGTAACTCCTCAATGGGCCCCAAATGTACAAATGGCCCTTCTTCCTTCACAACTGCATCCCTTGAGGGCCCACTGTGGGCCATGCACACATGCTTACAAACTATGTTACACAAACATATTTGCATTATGACAACTCCAAAGAGGCACAGGGCTTAAGCCACTTGCTCAGGGCCCCACAGCTGGCAAGTGGCAGACTTGGAGAAAGTTCTCAGGAAGAGCTGTGATCCCAAGTGCTGACAACATTCTTCTCCCTTTATTGCACCTTTCTTTAAAAATTTAAAATAAAAAAAGCTTGGCAACAGGTACAGTCAGCTCTATCTAGGCTGTGGGTTGGTCTTGTGAACTGCCTGGCAGTGGACCCAGCGTATTGTCTCTCTCTATTTTCTCCCTGCCCCCAAGACTGGCCTGTGTTCAGTGACCTCGATAACATGGCTCCCCAATATCATGACCATCTGGACAACCACCGGGTGAGTGGAGAGGGAAGGAGGAGCAGGGCAGGTAGGAGTGGACTCGGCCCCAGTGGGAACTGAGGGTGAATGTGCAGGTGCAGAGGTGGGCAGCCCAGGTCTACTCCGTGCACTGTCAGGGGGGCATGGGAAGGGGTTGGGGGATGTAAGTGAATCTCAGCCTCCTGTCCAAGGCAGCAGTATTTTTGGAAAGAGCTGGGTCCATTCTCCTTCCTGGAGGTAGTTAGAAAAGAGGGACTCCAAGTCAACAGCAGTGCAACTTTCTGGTAACTGCCAGGCTCAGCCCTGAGTTGGTTTGGCCACCTATACGTGGACAGCTGTGTTGGGGAGAGGGGGCTACACTCAGCCCAGGTGTGTCACTGACAGCACAATCAGCTGGGATGCTCTGAGGTTGGATAAATGGAACAAGTTCTGGAAGCTTCTGGGTGGCTCAGTGGTAAGAAACTGAAAGCATCATATTTGCATTCAGGCAAATATATCGTGGTGTCAAGCTTTAAATTCTTAGAAATTTTTAAAACAGACTTTACAGAAATATCATACTTGCCCAGACCACAAGTACACCATCAGATGCTTCCAAAGGTCAAGTTTACTCGACTACTTTTCAGAGTTCTTTAGGGGAAGGAAAAAATAATAGCATTACTATGGACAGATGCTATGTTGAAGACTTGATAGATACTCTCAATTTATCCTCACAATAGCCTACAGGGTAGATTTATTTTATTTTATTTTCTAAGATTTTATTTATATATTTTCAGAAAGAGGTAGGGAGGGAGACAGAGAGGAAGAGAAACATCAGTGTGTGAGATAAACATCCATTGGTTGCCTCTTACACACTCCCAGCTGGGGACCTTGCCCACGCAACCCAGGCATGTGCCCTGACTGGAATCAAACCAGTGACCTTTTGGTTCACAGGCCAGTGCTCAATCCACTGAACCACACCAGCCAGGGCTTATAAGGGAGATTTTTTAAAATTCCTTTTATAATAAGATTTATTCTAGAATAAGAATAAATTTAAAAATTTCAGAATAGGTCATCCAATTTTATGGTTGAAAGGAAAAGGTACAAAGGATTAGCACAGTGAAATGTCTCACTCTTACCTTGTCCCTCAGCTACCTGCTCCTTTTCCCCAAAATTACCACTGTTGAGGCAGGACTCTTACTATCCCTGATTTAGAGATGAAGACACTGAGGCACAGAGAGGTTGAGCCATTTGCTCCTGGTCACTCAGTGATGGAGCCAGGATTCAAACCCACCCTCTGACTGCTGCCCTTTGCCTCTGTTCTCCACCTCAGAGTGGGTAGTTCCCCTTCACTCAGATGGGAAGAACAAGGTTTGGAGAGGTTGGCTGCCTTACCCAGGGACCCAGAGCTGGGGTTTGTGTGAAGCTCTCTGTTGCTCAGCTTGATCTTGATTCCAGAGGGAGGGATGAGGGGCTCAAGGTCATGCAGTGAGTGGGGTGCAAGGATCAGGCTATCTGGAGTTTCTGAGTATGGCCCATAGTCCATTTTCAAAAACTGCCTTTTGTTCCACTCCCTGAACACCTCAGTTTGGTGGTCTATAAATAATACCTCAATTTTTAAAATTGAAAAAAAATCAAACAATAGCCTTTCAGCTCACACAGAGAGTAAAGGCCTTGGGGGAGGCTGGGAGGGAAATTTACAGGACTTGCAGGGTAGAGGATCCCACCAAAGCAGGGACCAGGGATTCTGTTGTGTATGGTTGCAGTAACCCAGGTTTCACATTTAAGCTAGTGATGCCAAGCTTCTTTTAAAAAGATATTTATATAAGTAGCCCTGGCTGGTGTGGCTCAATGGATTGAGCACCAGCCTGTGAACAGAAATGTTGCCAGTTCAATTCCCAGTCAAGGCACTTGCTTTGGTTGTGAGCCAGGTCCGTGGTTGGGGGCATTTGAGAGGCAGCTGATCCATATTTCTCCCACATATCTTTCTCCCTCCCTTCCTCTCTCTCTTGAATAATAAAATCTTAAAAAGATAAATGTAAGTAAAATAAAAGGGATGGCTTTTCGAAAGAAAAAAATTACAAATGAGAAGTATGGATTCATGAAAGTGGCTTTATCTAGAGAGGGAGAGAATGAGCAGGGGAAGGATGCACAAGAAAAGGTCTCAATTTTAATAGTAATATTTTAATTTAAAAAATACAAGATCTAGTGCTGGCTGATGTGGCTCGGTAGATTGAGTTCAGACCTGCAGACCAAAAAGTAGTGGTGTGATTCCCAGCCAGGACATGTGCTTGGGTTGTGGTCCAGGCACCTGGTTGGGGGCACGCAGGAAGCAACAGGTTGATGTATATTTTGCACATGGATGTTTCTCTCCCTCCCTTCTCCTCTCTCTAAAGCTAAATAAATAAAATCTAAAAAAAAAAAAAAAATACAAGGTCTGAAGTAACTCAGACATAGTATTAAGAGTTATCCAAAATGGCCCTGGCTAGTGTGGCTCAGTGGATTGAGTGTGGGCCTGCAAACGGAAAGATGACTGGTTCAATTCCCAGGCAGGGCGCATGCTTGGGTTGTGGGCTGCGTCCCCAGTTGGGGGCATGTGAGAGGTAAATCTCTCATCTAATTTGCATGTTTGAAATACTTCTTGGTAGAATAAAGAAGGAAAATAATGAAAGTATTAGCTGAATGATGATGTAGGTGACATACAGATATGGCCAGAACTCAATGTTGGTAGACAAATGATTGTAGTTTTAGAGGTTATAAATTATATCAGATTCCCTTTCTGAACAGAACTCAGATCTAGAACAACAAAAAAAGCCCAGGTGACCTATGCAGTTTTGGGACAGGGCTTAGTTGAAGTAAATATTGTTCCCAATGCTGCGTTTTTGTCTAGCTAAGGTTTACCTCCCTTAAACCAGCCTTTTGTTTTTCCGCCTGTGAATTGGGTGAGCCACACTTGACAGTAACACCTACTGTGATCCCCACTGTCAGTTGCATCCTCATAGCCTTTGATGTAGGTGCTATAATGAATCCCCATAGCTAAGGAAACTGAAGCTCAGAGAGGGTGAGCTACTGCCCAGGGTCACAGCTGGCAAGTCAGAGCTCAGATTTAAGCCCCAGCACTCTGGTTCCAGAGCCCAAGCTCTTCACCACTACTTTCTACTGCTCCCTTGTCACCAACCAGCAAGGGCAAAAGGAGAAGAATGTTAAATGAGATGATGGGACAAAGGAGAGAAAGCCCATGGCTGGAATGTCCAGATGTCACACCAGGACCACTGAGACCCTCATGCCATCTTCTCTCCACAGGATTCTGAGAACAGTGGGGATAGTGGATTCCCCAGTGAAAAGCGGGGTGAGCTGGATGACCCAGAGCCCCGAGAACATGTAAGGAACTCCTAGGAAACAAGACCAGAGTTTTCTGTTGCCTCATTGTCTAGGAGGATAGAGAGGTAGGGTAAATGAGAGTGGGCCACGAGAACGTGACGGGTAAATTACTAAATAAGATAATTTCAGATAAAGATAAGTGCAGGGCAGAAGATAAAGCTGGATAATGGGGACCAGTAAGTGTAGTAAGCGGGGGGTGGTGGTTCAGACACAAGATTGAAAGTGGCTAAGCAGAGAGGACACTGGGTAATAAGCCAGAATACTGCTGGTATGGGTGGGAAGGCCCAGCTCTGGCATAGGATCTGGCATTCCTGTGAGGACCCCCAAGGACAAGTGTCCAATGCACCTCCCACAGCATCCTGGTGAGGGTGGCCTAAGGTAGTCTCACAGCCATTTAAAGGTTTAGCCCTGTGCCAAGTCTGAGCATCAAGGCCAGTTTTGCCAGAGTCCTCTGGTCTCAGCTTTGTTACTGCAAATAAAGACAGGCAATGGGAGCTTTGACTAGAGGAAGGACTCTGACCAGTTTTCTGGGATCCTGTGCCTTTGAGTCAGTTCCATCTGTGCACACAGGGAGAGCAAGAAGAGGGCTGTGGCTGCCTCAGCACATCAGACCTGCCTATTACCCAGCATCCTCTCTGCTTGGCAGGCAGGGTTCCTGCTTCCTCTGGTGGGGGTTGGGCCAGATGCCTCAGAGGAGGGTTTCTGGGAGGGGTAGACCAGTTTCCCAGGAGGAAGTTCTTGGCCAGACCAGTTTTTGGGAGAAAGAGCTGCTCTTTGGGTCACTCTATTCTGTCTCTGTCAGGGCCACTCAAACAGTAACCGGAGGTACGAGTCGGACGAAGACAGCCTGGGAAGCTCTGGGCAGGTAATGCTCCTGAGGAACACTTGTCATGCTTTGTGCTTGCCTTTCCAGGCTATTTCTGTTTCTCTTCCCTCATGTCACTGCAGCCTACCCAGATGCCTCACATCTCTAAAAGGAAGATTTCGCAAAGGAGCCAACCCTCTCGGAAAATAATTTTTGAGCCTTTTCTCAGGGCGGGATGATGAGGGACCTTCAGGGAGGATTAGGGATGTCAGGATCACCTGTCTTGCAGGGGAGATTAAACAGCCATAGCTCTCGTGTTAAAGTCATGCCCATGTAAATGCTTTGTAGTATTAATTAACTTCTGACAACCACCCAATGAGACAGGCTAATGTTACTCATCCCCATTTTACATATGAGAAAACGGGGGTCTTAAGCAACTTTCCAGGTTTCCAGTTAGTATTTCCAACAGGCATCTCACGTGATCATTACCAACTCCCAGGTGTGGGAAAGACTAGCCCTTAGGAACACTGTGCTCTTCTCCAGTTGATCTGACACGCCTGAACCTCTCACCTTCCAGCCTTTGCTAAAGCAAGTCTTTCCCACCTGCAATTTCCTTCCTCCTGCTGTGGTCATATCTCCTGCAGCCTGCCTACTCTCCTGGACTGGATCCCAGTTGCACCTCTAGCACTTCCTCCTCCAGGAGCCTTCCCTGCTCACCTCAGCAGGCTTGACTCCTGCTCCCTTAGAACGCAGATTATGTTTCATGTGTTATTCCTTGGTTGAGTCAAGGGCTCAGCGTGGCATGAGGCAGAGTTGCTCAATCATGGCACCATCAACATTCTGAGCTGGGCCATCCTTTGCTGTGGGGACTGCCCTGTGTATTGTAGGATGTTTGGTACACACACAGCTGCCTGGCCCTGTCCTATGAGAATCTTTAAATAGGGGTGTCTAGTTGGGAGACATTTCTGAAAGCACCCAGTTGATTCCCAGGGGAAAGCAAATGGACTTCCTGCAAGGCCTAAAGTCAGACCGTCTGGTGCCTTGTGTGAAGAGCTGGCCGATGGGTAGCTTAGGGTCTGGCCTCCCCTACCATACCCAGATTGATAAATGAGGGAAACACTTCTTTGAATTGCTGTGGTCCCTTCTGCTGGCCTTTGTGTCCTCTTGCTGGCATTGCCCCTCAGCACCATGAGCTGATAGAATTTGACACCATAAGGGTTCACTGCCCACCTGCCAACCAGGCTTGTGTAGTAGTAGCCACTGACAGCTAGTGACAGGATGACCATCCCCAGCCCCTGGCTTCTCTGCCCTGGAAACTCACCATACCTGGTTTTCTCCCTTCAGGTCTGTGTAGAGAAGTGGAATCTCCTCAACTCCTCCCGCCTCCCCCTGCCAAGGCCTTCGGCTGTGGCCCTGGAAATGCAAAGGCTTAATGCTCTGGACCTTGAAAAGAAAATTGGGAAGTCCATTTTGGGGAAGGTATCAGTAATGCCTGTTTCAGAGCCCTTTCTGCACTAACCCAGCTCTCACCTCCTCCACTCATTGCTTCCTCCTGCAGGCTGGGTGGGGGCCCTTAAGTGCAACATTGGTCTCCCAGGCCACCCAGCCAACACCCAAGTCTATATGGCAGGTCCATCTGGCCATGGTGCGCTACCATGAGGGTGGGCGTTTCTGTGAGAAGGATGAAGACTGGGACCGCGAGTCAGCCGTCTTCCACTTGGAGCGTGCAGCTGACCTGGGCGAGCTGGAGGCCATCGTGGGCCTGGGACTCATGTACTCGCAGCTGCCCCACCACATCCTGGGTGATGTCTCTCTGAAGGTGAGAGGAGCCTGGCACCCAGCTGGGGGGCCTTCATTAGCCCACCATTCCCCCTGTCCTGGGGAGTTTATGCATGCCACAGACCCTGATCACCAGTCAAGGGCCAGGCACTCCTAAGTGGGTTGAAACTGGTAGAATTGGTCTTTGCCCTTGAGGAATGAGTGGAAGGCAACAGTCCCATTTCCAGGCAATGACGACAGGTGTGATGAGAGAAGCAGAAGAGGCAGGTGGAAATGAATGAGGGAGGGCCCTACCTGGGATTTCTAGGGGTCAATGCTTGCTTCCTCATAGCTAGTTTCAGTGATATCCTTAGGGGCTAGAACAGAGCCCAGCACAGAGTAGGTGCTCAATATTTGTTGGTGAAACGAATGAATAAAGTGATATCTAAGTTAGACCTATAGGCTGAATGGTAGTGTGAGAGGAGAACAGGTCAGGTAGAAGGAACAACATGTGCTCAGTCCCAGAGGTGACAGGATGACAGATCTGAGGATGGGAGATGATCAGTGCGATCAGTACAGCGAGAGCACAGGGCGTAAGAGGATGATGCAGGAGATGAGGCTGAATTTGGGCCTGAAACAGCAGGATGTAGATGTGTGGGGAAATCCCTGGTCCATGGGCACAGTGAGGAAAGGACTGAGTCCACAGGTTTTGGCTGGCCCTATGAAGTATGATCTTTCCCTTGGAGAAATTGAGAGGCCTTTGCCAAGCATGTGGCCCCAGTGTATCTGTTCCCGTCCTTGCTATCACATGGGCCAGGGTCGTGAATGGACAGGTAGCTGGGCAAGGCTGGGCTCAGCCTGGGCCCCGGGCACCAGCACTCCTCGGTGGGCCTGGACATGGCCCAGTGGGTAGGAGGTCTCAGACAAAAAGAAGGTGCGAAGACACTCCAAAGTCCTTTATTTAACTTTTGAATAAGGAACACATTTATGTGATTAAAATTTCTTTTTCCTTAAAAGTTTAGTTTGTTGTATAGAATTCCACAGTCTATTTTCCTAGGGCTTCCTTAACAAATGACCACAAACTGGGTGACTTAAAGCAAAAGAAATTTATCCTCTCACAGTTCTGGAGATTAGAAATCCAAAACTAAGGTGTCTGCAGTGCCATGCTCCCTCCTTCTCTCTTCTAGCTTCCAGGGTGTGCTGACAACTGCATTGTCCCTTGGCTTATATTAGGTCGGCCAAAAAGTCTGTATTATTTTTCTGTAAAATAAAAGACACATTTTTCATTTTCACCAATAACTTTACTGATTTGGATATTTTGAGTAGTTCAGCTATCTCCTGCGTGATATAACATTGATTATTCACAATTAATGTCTCAACTTGATCACTATCAACTTCAACTGGTCTACCCAACTGTGGAGCACCTTCTCCATACACTGCACAAATCTGTTTTCACATGTCAGTAGCGTTGTACCTTTCTCGAAATAGTAAAGCACAGTCTTTACTATTATGCTGAAAATGTTGCTAATATTCTTCCGTCTTTAATATTAAAATGGCTACACAAAAACTCACTAATTTTGATGTTTTTTAAAAATGCATGCTGATATGACAGCTGTCACAATACAATCTAAAAAAATTGTCTTGAATGAAGTTAAAGGCAGCTAAGCACTACTAAAGCAATCTTACAGAAAGAAAACAAACTTTTGGCTAACCCAGTAGATTCCTCTCTCCAATCTCTGTTTCTGCCTTCACATGGCCTTCTATCCATTTCCATCTCCTGTCTCTTCCCCTCTTATAAAGGCACCAGTCATATGGGATTTAGGACCCTCACTACTCTAGGATGACCTCATCTTAACTATTAACATCTTGACATCTGTAAATATCTACTTCCAAATCAGGTCCCAATTTGAAGTTCTGGGTGAACATGAATTGGGAGGGACACTGTTTAACAGAGTTTCCTTACACCAGCACAGAATATTTTCACCCTGTTTCCCTGTTTTTTCTTCTAAGTCAGCATGTGAGTCATAACTGAATCACATGATTCAGCCATTTAGATTATTTGGCATGTGGGCAAGAGAAAACCCACAGCCATTTTGTTTCCCATTTAAGATGGTGAGGGATAGGCTTGGTTTTTGGAGGACCCTTTTGACAGACTGATGACTTGTCTCTCTCCTATCTCCTTGCTCCCTGAGAGCAGTAATGAGTATTGCTTATTCATCCAGTGGTGTGCCAGTAAGTGTTTACCAGTTGGCTCTCAAGGGTAGGGAGGAAATGTATGCACATACATGTATACCAAATTTATTATAAATTTTACTGATATAAAGAATGTGGAGCCCTTGGGGTGGCAAACACAATATAATATATAGATGATGTATTGTAGAACTGTACACCTGAAACTTACATAATTTTATTAACCAGTGTCACCTGAATAAAGCCAACTTTAAAAAAGACTATGGAGCATACAATTTACAAACAATAATAAATATACTCTTCATTGTAAATTCCATATAGGCAGTTGATTCTCATAGATTGCTTTCACTACTTATTGTGGGTCTTTATATCTGTTACCCACTTATGATTGCTATTGATGGAGGTAAGACGTTTTGACATAAATATTGGTAATTGTAAATACTTTCATTTACTTTAGTAAGATGAATGTGAAATAAGGAAGACCTCTGTCAGAACTGGAACTTCATTTATTTGCTGCTGATACGAGGGACTTCATTCCTGATAATACTAAAAAAGTTTCTTCAGTTTCCTGTGCTAGTCACAGTATAATGGCTACAGACATGACACACTTTTAAGTTAATCTGCATTATGAATATTTTTTCATCTCTTTTTCAACCAAGACAATCACATCTTGATCTGTAGGATTTTCTGCTTTCTGCGGTGTAAACGCTTCTGCTGTGGCCAACTTCACAGTACCGATATGACATCACTGAACATGGAATTGGGAAGAAATGTGCAGGAGACACTGTTATATAGTATGTCAACCATACAGGTTCGAAAGACCAGTGGTTCTCAGCCAGTCATTTTGCCCTCTCTTTCTCCAGGGAACACTTAGAAATATCTGGAGATATTTTTTGGTTGTCACAACTCTGGGAGTGCAACTGACATCTAGTGGGTAGAGACCAGGGAGGCTGCTAACATCCCGCAAGGCACAGGACTGTCCCACAGCACAGAATAACCTCATTTAAAATGTCACTGGTACCAAGGCTGAGAAGCCCTGCAGTAGATAGAAATAATCTCAAGAGCATTAGGTAATAAGTGACACCGAATAAAATATTTAGGAAGTGGTGAGCTTTGAGTAATTGTTGCTATTCCTGTAATTTAAAGTTTCCACAATTTCATTTTGAATAATAGCTTGCAGAATTCCTAGAAATTTCAGTCAGCTCTCCTGACCTGTAGAGCTGGTTCCAGCAGGCCACTGCACCTGCCACAGAGCTCAGCCCAGTGAGGACACTCAGAGGCTTTGAGGCCTGAATGAAGGAAAGCTGTGCCCAGGATGAGTGGTGGCGTCAGGGCCAGCAGATATGCCCTCTCTCTGAGACCCCTGGTAGATCTCCTTGTGATCTCAGACTGCATAGGCCAGTGCAGCCTAGAACCTACTTTGTAAGGGGATTGGAAGCAATTCCAGTTTCCTCATCTGCAGGCATCCCACAGGCCTTGCTGTTGCATACAGACTGTAGCAACTTCACCTAGCTGGAGAGTGGTTGGATAGAACGTTGTGGTTAGGGCAGGGCAGGCAGGCAGGAAGTGAACTGTGTTCAAGCAGGCCTATGGCTTCGCAAGGAAAACAGTGGCATTGTGTCCTGAGAGGCTGCTGTGCTCTTGAAAGCTTGTCTCCTACTTTCCCCGGTGCCCCCATTTTGGGGGCCTTTTCTGTTGTCTTGCGAAGAAATGCATCCTTCACATGTTTGTTGACCATCTTCTGTACTCTGGGCACCATCCTAGCTCCATATTCATGACAGCAAGCTTTTCAGGCAGGGAAGGGTATAGTACAGATAATATTAACAAGTGAAAATGTCCAGCAGAATTAAAATAACTAATCTTTACAGAGGACTCCCTGTGCCAAGTATCATTCTAAACTGCTGAGGAGAAAATTTGACAGGGAAGGTGATCACTAGTGATTGGACAGAGCTTTTGTATTAGGACACAGGCTCCAGGGTCAGGGGAGGTTGGGAAATGCAGTCTCGCTCATCAGCCATGTGCCAGTGAAGCATGGTGGGTGTGAATGGATATGGGGGACAGCTGGCAGTGCCTTACCACACTTCTTGAAGGTTGAAAAGGACCTCATAGGCTGATATGAGGGCTTTGGATTTGTCTCTATGTAAGATAGGAAGTCTTAGAGCAGCTTTGATAAAGAAATGTGACCTGACTTGGGCTTCAAAGGCATCTCTCTGCCTGCTGCTATGGAATAGGTCTTGGGGGAGCAGAAAGGAAGCTAGTGGGAATGCAGCCACTATGAAAAACAGCTGGACAGCTCCCCAGAACTTAGATGTGACCAAGCAGTTCCACTCCATTGTGTATACCCAAGAGACTAAAAGCGTACATCCCCACAAAAAAACCTGTACATAAATTTGCACAGCAACATTACTCAAAATAACCAAAAAAGTGGAAAACACAAAATGTCCATCAACTGATGACTGGTGAGTGGATAAAGGAAATGTAGTATAGCCACATAATGAGATGTTATTTGGCCATAGAAAGAATGAAGCACCGATACATACATAACCGACACTACAACATAAATGAACGTTGAAAACTTGATATTGAGTGAAAGAAGCCAACCACACAGTGTATGATTACATTTATCTTAAATGTCCACAATGGGTAAGTCTTTAGAAATAGATAGTAGATGAATGGTTGCCTAGGGTTGTGTAGGATGGGACAGTTTGGAGGTGATAGTTAAGGGGTATGGTGTTTTGGTTATTTGAAATTATTATGGTGATGGCTGCACATTGTGTGAATATACACTGAAAATCTATTGAATTGTACACTTGCAAGGTGGTGAATTGTATGGTATGTGAATTATATATCAATAAAGCTCGTAAAATTTTTTCTGAAGAGTGGAGGTAGAAAGCCCTGTTGGAGGCAGGAGATAATGTGTCTCTTTGGAAGAATTAGAGCAGACAGAGGACAATGAGCAGGACAGAGCTAAGCTTCCATTTCTCCCTCCTGATGGGAACCCAAGGAGCTCATTGCATGATGTGCAATTCTATAGCAGTCCCAGCCCAGAGTTCTCCAAAAAACTCAAGGAATGGGGAGAAGATTGATCAGTGAGACTTAGCAGCCCCTCCAACCTCATTCCCTTTTCTTTTTCCCTCTCTGGTTGGTATTGACAGGACACGGAAGAAAATAAAACCAAAGGATTTGATTACTTACTGAAGGCAGCTGAAGCTGGCGACAGACAGTCCATGATCCGGGTGGCACGAGCTTTTGACACCGGCCAGAACCTCAGCCCAGACAGGTACTGTGGCCTCCAATCAGGTGGAGCTGGTGGGAGCCTGGGCTGCAGGTGGGAGCTTCCCCCTCCAATATCAGCACCGGCTTGGGTTTCAGGCTCGGCTCCCCACCGAGTCCAGTCCAGTGACCATGAGAAAGTTATTTTTACTTCCATGGCCTCAGTTTCTTCCTTGTGTAAAAGGGAATAATAGAACCTGCACCCCTAGGATTGTTGTGTGAGGGTTAAATGATGCTTGTAATTCTTACTGTGTCTGGCACATGAGACACAAGATACATGGCAGCCTCCTTGCAGCATCAGGTACAGAGTGTTCCTAGATGTTAGGACAATGGGTGATTAGAATGTACTCTTCCTACTTTTATTTTTGTTATTTTTCACTTCCAAGAGGGAGGAGAGGGAAGGAAGCAAGCTCCAGGGGTGAGCTCAGGCCTGGTATGAGTTTTCCAGAGTGGCTTTGAGACACCCGAAGGCAATGACTGTGCAGGTGCTAACTCTTTTTCAGTTATCACACAGGCTGAGATGCCAGGTCTGGTTTCTGCAGCGGAAGGAAGGAAGGAAGGAAGGATGACCAAACCACATCTCATCTCCTTGGTTTGGTCAGTGGGATGTTTCAGAAGTCCAGGCTGAGCAGAGGACATTTAGGGGAATTGACTGGGGGAATTGACCCGTTGCTAACGCTCTTTGGTTCCCCTTAGACCTCAGCTACCCGCCGCTGTCCTCAGTCAACTATGGCTTTCTAGAAGAGAGCGGGGTGAGCACACTTATCATCTAAATCTCCAGGGTTGGAACAGTCTGGCAGTTCTCTTGTTAGGATTAGGGTCTCATCTTCCTCTCACTGGGTTAAGAAGGAAAGTCATGGTAGTGGCTCTGTCATATCAAGCTCTCAGGGTCTAAAACATATGGATATGTGGCATCCTGCCTATATATGTCATGTAAAAATGTATCAGATGCCTACTGTACCACTCCCTTTTATTTGGACCGCTCTTTCACTGAGAACAAGAATTGGGTCTGCTGCGTGTCTGTAGTCCAGAGCTTCACATAGGGCCTGTCTCAGTAGTTGTTGAATGAATGAACCAACACATGTCTTTGGATAGACATGGCAGGGATGTTTGGCCCCCATTTTATGGATGAGTAAACTAGTTCTGAGAAGTAAAGGGACTTGCCCCCATGGCCAAATAGGTAATAAGTGACAAAGTTAAAACCTAGGTCTTCTCGCCTCTCCTCCAGTGGACTATCTACATGGCCAGCTTCATAATGGACTCAGACTTATACTGGCATGGAGGGGAGGTAAATAACAAAGACACAAAATGATTGTGTGAGATCAAATGCCAGCGTAGATGGTGCCCATGGAGCACAGTGGGGAAGCACAGCGTGGGCACAGGTTGCTGGAGCTAGGCACCTAGAAATCTTTGCTCTGTGTGTTTTCATGTCCTTTGTCTCCTTTTTCTTTGACATAATAGTTTATTTGTTGTTGACTTGTAAGAATTTTAATATATTAATGCTAAGAACTATTTGGCTTATGAGTTGCCTTAAAAATTTTTTTTTAAGGTAACTACCACAGATGTGGGGGAACAGGGGATGGCACATGTTCCACTCAGTGACAGTTGTTTACTGGGTTAGGGGATACATCAATTTTTTTAATACTTACATAGTTAAATATATTAAAGTTTTTAAAAAGATTTTATTTACTTCTTAGAGGGGAAAGAAGGGAGAAAGAGAGGGAGAGAAACATCAATGTGCGAGAAATATATCGATTTGTTTCCTCTTGCACACCTCCAACTGAGGAACCAGCCCGCCACCCAGGCATGTGCCCTGACTGGAAATCAAACCTGCAGCCTTTTGGTTCACAGGCTGGTGCTCAATTCACTGAGCCACACCAGCCAGGTCTATCAAAGTTGTTTTTTTTTTTTTTTCCAATAGCTTCTACTATAGTCATTTTTTTATTCTTCCTCATTCCAAGCATCTCCAGCCTCTTCCATCCAGGGATTGTTAATTAAGGGCCACTCTGGGTAAGGCAGGGCCCCGTGTAGGCCCAAACTTGCATGTAAGGGGTTTCCACCTTCTCAGAAATTACCACCTAGTAGGGCAAGGAAAAGTCATTGGAAATTCCAAAGCAGATGCGGGCACCCTAATTACTGGTTGTGGAGTCAGCTGGGGTTGGGAGTGGGTAGGAGAGACTAGGCCCCTCCCCCTTTCCCATTTAATAGTTGCAGAGCAGTTCTGCTTTGCCCTTCAAGACCAGAAATGGTCAGAGGTAAAAGAGATGAAAATGAAAGATAATCTAGTTTGGGGCCTTCCAGACAAATGTTAAAATCTTAGCTTGTTAGGTGTGTCACCAATAACTTTCAAAAGATTTTCTCTTTTCTATAAAATAAAGTGGAGTCAAGGTTAGCTCCTCAAGGCCATCACAGCTAGCCATGTGTTTACCCTTCATTGGTCCCTGCCTTCCTGGGGCTTTCATTTTCTTTGGGGGAACTGTAATCAACAGTGAATAAGAAAACAGGAGAATTACAGATTGAGGCAATTGTAAGAAATCAGGTGTTTGGGGACATCTTCTCTGAAGACGTGACATATGAGCTGAGATTGGAGGGATGAGGAGCCAGGTTTGGAAAAAGGGGGAAAGAACATTTCCAGCAGACAGAGTAGAAGCAGCAAAGGCCAAGGAGTAGACAGAGGCTGGCATGTCTGGGAACAGACAGCCTAGCAGGAGCTAAGGCTGGGGGCCAAGCTGGGTCAGGTAGGCCTTGGAGGAGAAGACAGCAAGTCATTGTAGCTGTTTTTCCTGGAACATTCCATGCGACCCATTCACATTCTTATCTGTGTCTCTCTCTGCTCTTTCCTGATGTACTATGAATACCTACATTCCTGGTATAGTCAGTACACCCAAAGAGAAAGAGCTACTGCCCTGTTTTGCTCTGTATTGTGTGTTTATATTTAGTTGGAACCTGTGTGTGCCCTTGGTGGTTTGGCCTTTCACATGCTGCATCAGGAAAAAGGGGAGAGTCTAGAGGGGCAGAGCTGGAGAGGGAGCCAGCTCTTCCCAGGGAAGCCCTGCATTGTGCTCGAGGCAGCCAGAGCTGACTGCATGGGACTAGGGTAAGATGGGGCACAAGACTGCTGTTCCCTCAGCTGGTTCTGGAAGCCTTGGCAAAGGGCCCCCCCCACCTCCTCTCTTACCTAAGTCATAGGGAAGATTGGCTGGGATACCAGCTACTGCTAATGATGGCCCACAGGGTGCTATCTTGTTCAAACTGGAAAAATGCCTTTCTTCCTCAAAATGCTCTGCTTCCACCATTGGAAAATTGTTGTAATATACTAATTTTATTAGGAAAAGCTAAAGACTGCTACATCAGTAAATGTAAAAGTATACAGTGTAAAAACAATGACCCTTAGATGCGGTGGCATCAGGTGCCATGGGTCATGATTCATAGATGGTGGCCCCCTGGGATTCTGACTTGTTCCTCCTCCTGATGGGCCTTCTCCCTCCTGCCCAGTTGTCATGCTAACCTCCCTCTTTCCTCTTTTTCTCTTGCCAAGGTCCCAAGACTGGCCAGAAGCTCTGCACTGGTACAACACTGCCCTGGACACAACGGACTGTGATGAAGGCGGTGAATATGATGGGATGCAAGACGAGCCCCGTTACATGCTGCTGGCCAGGGAGGCTGAGATGCTGTCCGAGGGCGGCTTCGGGCTGGAGAAGGACCCACAGAAATCAGGTAGGGCCCAGCAGACCTACCCCTGTTGTGGGACAGGGATGGACAGGGAGGGATGTAGTTCCTGACCCACTGGGAATTATGGCAAGAGATACTAGTAGGAGAAAGATTCATATGGACCCTCTCTTTTGCCAGGCAGGATACCCATATGGTGCTGGCTTAGTAGGGGGATTCATGGAGCTATTGTGCAGATGAACATCTTTATTCTAATAGTTATATATTAGGAGCTTGGGTTTTGGGTGTTTGGGATTTGTTTTTACAATTAGAAACATTGAGGACTTCCAGTCAAGATAGAAGCATAACTAAACACAGCTTGCCTCCTTGCACAACCACAGCAAAAATTACAACTAGACTACAAAACAACTGTTACCCAGAATGCTTATAAAATTGAGCTGCTTAGAAACCTGACTACTAAGGAATTAAAGAAGTCACATTCATCCAGATGTGTAGGAGGGACAGAGACACAGAGAGGCATGGGGATGTGGAACAGGCGGTCCCACACCCACTTGTGGGGATAAAAATCAAGAGTGATACCTTGGGAGCGAGAGACCTTAGCCCCACCACAGACCACCCAGCTCAGGGTTCCAGTGCCAGGAAGATAACTAAACTTCTGGCTGTAAAAACCACTGAGGGTTGGGGCTGTGGAAGAAACTGCAGGATTCTCAGGAGTGTCCTCTTAAAGGGCCCCCAATGGACTTAAGACTTACGCAGACTGACTCCCTTTGGGCTCTAGCACAGTGGCAGCAGCTGGAAGGGCACCAGTGGCATACAAGGAGAAATTGAGTCTGGCATAAAGTGCTGGGGGAAAACTTCCACCCGGACAAAACTCCAGAGGCCAGGCAGTGGCACTGTCCCCATTCTGAGCCCTCCCCTACACAGAGCCACAGAGCAGGGACACCATATAGGAGGCTCTATCAATCTGGTTCACACAGGTTGTCCCACCCAGGCAATTACCTAAGGCTCCACCCCTTCCAGCTTACCAGTGTGCTCTTCTGCAGTAGGCCATGCTGCTAAGACAGGGAGTCAAAGCAGCGCTACCTAATACCTGGAAACAAACACAGGGAGGCTGCCAAAATGAGGAAACAAAGAAATATGGCCCAAAGGATCAAAACTCCAAAAAAAATAACTAAATAAAATGGAGATAGGCAATCCATCAGATGCAGAGTTCAAAATGCTGGGTATTAGGATGCTCCAGGAACTCACTGGGTACTTCAGCAAAAAACAACAACAACAACAAACAAACAAACAAAAAACCCCAGTCAGGACTTCCAACAAAGATGGAGGCTTAGGTAGATACACTTTGCCTCCTCGCACAACCAAAAGAAGGACAACAAATTTTTTAAAAAGAAATAACCAGAACTGCCAGAAAATTGAACTGTATGGAAGTCCAACAGCCAAGGAGTTAAAGAAGAAACATTCATCCAGGCCACTAGGAGGGACGGAGACAGGCAGCCAGCGCAGAGAGGATGCATGGCAAGGTGGCGGCTGGAGGACCAGGCAGGCAAGGTGGTGTATGGCAAACCGGGCAGTCCCACAGTTGCATGCAGATAAACTGGAGGAACAGCTGGGGAGCAAGACAGACGCGCATTCCAGGGCTCCAGTGTGGGAAAAGAAAGCCTCAGAACCTCTGGAGGTAAAAACCTGTGGGGGTTGTGGCAGCAGAAGAAACTCCCAGCCTCATAGAAGAGTCCACTGGAGAGACCCACAGGGTCTTAGAATATATACAAACCCACCCACCTGGGAATCAGCTCTAAAATGGCCCAATTTGCTTGTGGGTAGTGGGGGAAATGACTAAAAGCCATCAAAGAGCTGAGCAAGCGCCATTGTTCCCCTTGGACCCACATACAGCGTCACAACACAGCAACCTTGGTTGCCCTGCCCTGGCGAATACCTAAGGCTCTGCCCCTTCCAACATAACAGGAGCACTGAGACAAAAAACAAACAAACAAACAAACAAACAAACAAACAAACAAAAAAACCCCAGCCCAAATGAAAGAACAAATCAAAACTCCCAAAATAGAACTAAGCAGTGAACAGATAGTCAACCTATCAGGTGCATAGTTTAAAGCACTGGTAATCTGGATGCTCACTGCATTGGCGGAGTATGGTTGCAAAATGGAGGAAAAGGCAAAGGCTATGCAAAGTGAAACAAAGAAAAATATACAGGGAACCAATAGTAAAGGGAAGGAAACCGGGACTCAAATCACTGATTTGGAGCAGAAGGAATAGAGAAACATTCCACCAGAACAGAATAAAGAAACAGGAATTCAGAAAAATGAGGAGAGGCTTAGGAACCTCCAGGACAACTTTAGATGATCCAACATGTGAATCATAGGAGTGCCAGAAGGAGATGAGGAAGAGCGAGAAACTGAAAACTTATTTGAAAAAATAATGAAGGAGAACTTTCCCACTCTGGTGAAGGAAATAGACTTCCAGGAGATCCAGGAAGCTTAAGAGTCCCAAAGAAGCACACACCAAGGCACATCATAATTACATTAGCCAAGATTAAAGATAAGGAGAGAATCTCAAAAGCAGCAAGAGAAAAACAGATAGTTACCTACAGAGGAGTTGCCATAAGACTATAAGCTGATTTCTCAAAAGAAACTTTGCAGGTAAGAAGAGGCTGGCAAGAAGTTTTCAGAGTCATGAAAAACAAGGGCCTATAATCTAGATTACTCAGTCCTGCAAAACTGTCATTTAGAATTGAAGAATAAAGAGCTTCCCAGACAAGGTAAAGCTAAAGGAGTTCATCATCACCAAGACATTATTACATGACATGTTGAAAGGACTTATTTAAGAAAAAGAGGACGATCAGAACTGATCATTAAAATGGCAATAAATTCACAACTATCAACAACTGAATGTAAAAAAGCAGAACAGGAACAGAATAATAGGTATGGGGATCATTTGGAGGGTCAGGAGGGGGAAAGAGAAGAATGGAGGAAAAAGGTGCAGGGATTAAGAAGTACAAATTGGTAGGTACAGAATAGACAAAGGGGTGTTAAGAACAGTACAGGAAATGGAGTATCTAAAGAATTTACTATATTTTCCCATGTATAATGCACACTTTTTTTGTATAAATTTTTGAGGGAAAAGTAAGGATGCGCATTATACATGGGTAGTGCTAATTCCATATCTATATAAATGTTTTTAAATCTTTTACTTATGCTGATGCATTAAAAGTGTTACTCTAGAAAGCAATAACAATATCCATATGTTCAAAAATAAATGCTAAAATTCCTTTATATACAAAAACCAAATATCTAAATATAAATAATTGAATTAAAAAACGAAAGATTTTTTTCCCTGAAAGTTTGGGCCAAAAATGTGGGTGTGCATTATACATGGCAAAGTGCAGTATATGCGTGACCCATGAACATGAACTAAGTGGAGGATTGCTGGAGGGAATGGGGGGTACCAGGTGGAGAGGAGCAACAGTGGGAAAATTGGGATGACTGTAATAGCATAATCAATAAAATTTATTTTAAAAATAATAAAATATTCTCCAATGGAAAAAAATTGAGCTTACATTTTCATCATCTAAAATTCACCATTTTAAAATGCCCAAGCTCAGTGGTGTTTAGTATCTTCACGATGTTGTGTAACCATCACCATTATCTAATTCCAGAATATTTCCACCATATCAGAAAGAAAACCAGTCCCTGTTAGCAGTAACTTCCTATTCCACCCCTGCTTCATTCTTGGAAACCACTAACGTACTTTTTGTCTTTGTGTATATACCTATTCTGGACATTTTGTTAGAATCATAAAATATCTGGCCTTTTGTGTCTGGCTTCTTTTACGGGGCATACTTTCAAGGTTCATCCAAGTTGTAGCATTCCTTTTTATTGCCAAAATATTCCATTGACTAGATAGATATACCACATTCTGTTTATCCATTCAGCAGTCAATGCACACATTAGATATTTTCTTCTGTTACATAATAAGCACACTGAACTCCTTATTTCACAGGAATGGGACTAGGCTAAATTTAGAAGTTTGTCATAAGGTTGTATAAAAAAAATTAGGCATATAATGAAATACTGTTCTATAATCCCATATTTGAGATTTTTAAATCCTGAAAGCTTTGAAAACAATGTGTTCATTTGGCACAAATTCATTTGATGGCCAGACCTATCCCGAACTGACATGTGGCTGCTTATGATCTTTGTTTCTTCTGCTTTCACATATTCCCCAAACAGTCCTGCATATTACTCAGCCTCATTCTCATTGGCTCCAATGGAATTATCCACCCACCCCTAAGCCAATCACAGGTGCTCATTGAAACAGCTTACTCTGATGGGTGTGCCTAGGTCTGGGCCAATCCCTATGGCCTGGTAGGGAACGGAGAGGGTGCTTTGGCCAGACTTTAATCCCTTGTACACCCAGAGCCCATCCAGGTCATGTGGAGGAAGAAGGGATTAGGAGTAGCTTTGATGCTGTTTCCAGAGATGGTGGGGGACACTGGGCTGGCAAAAACACCAGGTGGTTGAGCTGTTTGTGGCCCACTTTGCTGTCTTTCAGGTGACTTGTACACCCAGGCGGCAGAGGCAGCAATGGAAGCCATGAAGGGCCGGCTGGCCAACCAGTACTACGAGAAGGCGGAGGAGGCCTGGGCCCAGATGGAAGAGTGACGAGCCAGAAAATTCCTGTCTCTGTGGGCCAGTCCCAAGCAAAGGGATAGCACGGGAAAAGATTGACTGACTTAGGGGTTGGGAGTTGTTTTGGAGGAATGGGCAAGTAGTTTTAGTGTGTTGTAAATCAACTTTTGTATGTCATTTTTTGACTTTTGAAAATGTCTTTGCTATCAGCAGAGACACTATAGCTATACCCTAGGGCAGGATCTTGGGGCAGCAGGGATTGAAAAAGCAGCCTATTGACCAATATATTGTTTGAGGTTTTTTGTCTTATTGTCACAGGATGTAAGAAAGTGCTTTTCTGCCTTGGAATATATTGGGGCTTTGCTCACCAACGCTTTCAGGCTGGACTAGGCCCACGGAACCTGTGTTTCATGGGTTGGATGGGGAACATATTGCTGCATATGAACTATTCGTGGGGTGTGTATCATCATGACTTAGCGCAAAGCCTCCCTTCTCAGCACTTGGAAGCATGCATGGCATCATTCCATGAATGTGAGATGGTACAACACCCTGGCTGCTTCTGCCATGGGGGTGCACTGCGTGCTGACTGTTTTCTCATGTTTTTGGTTTAATTTTCTTCCTGAAAGGCAACTGATTTCCTAGAATACAGCCAAATTCCATTTTTAAGCATGCTTTCTACAGAAGGCTTTACAAAACAGGTTTGGTTTTTGTATGCACATTTTACTACCTCTGACTCCTCTGCCAGCTAGTGTGGAAGTGGGTGTGCCTCAAGACTTTTACATGAAAAGACAGTGGTTTGGCATGGTGAAGTCCTTCTCCAAGTAGACATCTCAGTAGCAGCATCCACAACGTGTCTCAAGTTACCTCTTATATAGGACTTCTTCATGTTTTCTTAGTATCTGATGTCCCACCATCATCCTTGATATTTTTTCCTTGAAGCCAGGCTGAGTTCCTTGTAATTCACAGCAGGATGCTTTCAGCAGCCTATTGAGATGAATTTACCATGTTTGAGAATGAGAAGGTAACAACTAAGTTTAAACACTCATTAATTCTAGTAGTTTCCACACGGCCAGGCTATGGCTAATTGTACATAATGAGCCTTTTGCTTTCAAAGAAATTCAATTAATATCAGTATGATTTCAGTTGGTATTTCAAATATAGCAAAGAAAACACACTGCTTCGTCAACCCCAAGTGATTAAGGAGCTTCTCTTTCTTTGTGTAAAAATCAGAGGGTGACATACAAACCATTCTTATTTGTTCATTGAAAGAGGTCTTTGCTGTGGAGCCATGTGTGCAAGCCTTAGGTTCCAAAGTCCATAGTGTGCCCTAAAGGGAAAAAAAATCAGGCAGAGCTAAAAAATCACCCTTGAGAATTCCTTTAGAGTACCTATAAATGACAACACCCCTTGTTTCTATATGGACTCTTCACAGCCAGTTTCCTTTAGAAGTTGGAGATGATCATGCTTTCCATTCGCAGTAGATCAAGTAGTTTTTGTTTTAAACCAGTGCACACAGTTAAATTGCATATGTTAAATGTAAGCTACAAGCAACTTTATTGTGACTTGCCTTTTCAAAGTAATCAAGCCTCATATGATCCATGCTTTTTTGTTGTCATTAACTCAGCCAGTCTCCTCTCTCCCTCTCTCTCTCTCAGACTTTATTATGCACATCATTTGTTCCCTGACCATATATCTCATTTCTTAGTTATGCATAAGTGCTTTTCTTTAACACAGGGATTGGCAAACTTTTTTGTAAAGAGCCAGAAAGTAAATAGTTCAGGTTCTGTGGGCTATATGGGCTCTGCAGTGGCTCAGCCCTGATGTGGTAAAGTGGAAGCGGCCATGGACAACACCTAAATGAAAGGTCACGGCTGGTTTTCCAATAAATCTTTACTACAAAAGCAGGTGGCCTGCCTGGGCTGTAGTTTTCCAACCCCTGCTCTAATCCTGGACTGAGAGTGTTTGTATTAAGCTGTGGGCATGAACTATCTCAATTTTCAATTTTCCAGCCTCTGGGGCTCAGACACGCCATGCCTTGGCACAGAGTAGACATTCAATAAATAAATTCAATGAACAAATAAAGAGCCAGGCTTAGTCACTGCATTTCGTCTTTGTAGCTCTGGTTCCTCCAGCCAGTTAATGATTCATTGTCTGAACCACCACCCCACATTTCCAAACACTCATGTGGCCTTAATGTTAGCAGCTGGTGCCCTCTCCTCCAAGAGGTTGTGATGATCTGGATGTAGAGTTAGGCAAATGCTTCTTTAAGGACATTGAGAATAAAATCTTCTGTAGGATGTTGAGATCCTTCTGAGCCAGCAAAAGAGCATACTCCACCTTCAGAACCTGGTTCTGTGCCTTCTAAAGTTTGTCAGGGCATCTTCTTTCTCCACAAATGCTGAGCATGTACCCTCCCCCTCCCCCTGGCCCCCAGAATAACCAGGATAGTCCAGCCCAACTGGGAAAATATTAGAGACTGTCTTCAAGCCTTTAAGTGCAAGGAATAGGTAAAGGTCTGGGAGATTAGATAAGCAGAGTTGGGGATTTCATCTGATACCTTCGATCGCAGATGGAGAAACTGAGGTTCAGAAAGGTAGAATCTTTCACAGGGATAGTGCTGGTTAGCCACTAAGCTGGAGTTGGGATTTGAGAGCTGCTGTTTTGAGGATCCTGGGAAAAAATTTTAACTGGACTGTAATGTCCCTTTCAGTTTTGCTGTAGAGGAGAAGGGGAGAGACTTTATGGATGTGAAAAGGAAAAAAATCCTGAACTTTGGTGCATCTTCATATTCCTTTTCCATTCCTCTCCTGCTGAGGCACTGTGGGAATTTATCATGAAATGCAAGCTTGATGATCCAGCCAGATAAACTAGCCTTTTGCTATTTTAGTGACTTCATTCCCCTCCCCAAACCCTGCACATTTGTTTGCAGTATTGGACATGTTTTACCAATCAACAAATGTTTACACAAGTATATGCAGCTTGTGTAGGGGAAAGGAGACAAAACATGAATTTTCTCTGTGTGGATTTTTGCCTGTTTCTCATGTTTCTCGTCTCTGGGGTAACCATTAGGGAAGATAGACACTGGATGGGACCCAGAGAAGTGGCTTTTGGTATAGATTTATTTTTGCATATGTATTAAGTTTCATTTCATATTTCCAAATAAAATGGTTTCTTTCCTTCCAGTCTCAAATTTAAATGTCTCCTAGTAGCAAAGAAGTGGGGGAGCTGACTGAAGGCAGAAGTGAACAGGAGGGCACAATATGAAAGGGGCAACTATGATTCAGCTCCAAATCATTGTTGTCATGGAGAATGTGGGCCTAATGTTGCCTCATTTTCTGTTTTTTCAAGAGCTGTTTAAAATTGGATTTTTTAATGCATGATCTTCTGAATGTTAACATTACTAATCAGTTCTGATTTTTTAAAAAATCCTTCCAGATTGCTCTGGCCAATGTGGCTCAGTTGGTTGGAGGGTCATCCAGTAACCGAAAGGTTGCAGGTTTGAGTTCCCATCAGGGCACATACCTAGGTTTTGGGTTGGATCCCCAGTCCCAGTGCCTGTGTGGGTCAGCCTATGGATGCTTCTCTCTCGCACTGATGTTTCTCTTTCCGTCTTTCTTCCTCTTAAAAGCAATGAAAAAGTTGTCCCTGGGTGAGGATTTAAATTTAAAAAAAGCTACATTGGCTGGTGTGGCTCAGTGGATTGAGTGCTGGCCTGTAAACCAACAGGTCAGCGGTTCGATTCCCAGTCAGGGCACATGCCTGGGCCCTGGGCCAGATCCCCAGCTGGGGGCATGTAAGTGGCAATTGATATGTGTATCTCTCACACATCAATGTTTCTCTCTTTCTCCCTCCCTTCCCCACTCTCTAAAAATAAATAAATAAAACCTTTAAATAAAAAAACCTTCCAGATTTGACCCTTAGCTCTCCCTCTTCTTTAGATAAAATATGTGAGCCTCCCTTTTTTCTTGATTTTTCTCAGCTATAAAACAGAAAGAATAATATTTTTACCATTACAGAGTTGTCATCAGCTTCAGTGAAGAGTGTGCATATTAAAGATGTTTTGTCATCCAAAGCTTAAGAGAATCTTGGCTACGGGTATGATCATTTCATTTCAAGCTAATCACTTGTTAATTTTAAGAAATTTGAACATTAGCATAGCTGTGAGGGTAAGTTGAACACACATAATTAGGTGCGTGCTCCTCTAGGTACCCACTAACACGACAAGAGATTATGTTAATGGCATAGGCCCAAGAGGATGAAGACAAAGAGGCATCAACAGCAACAAAATTTTGGTTGCTGGAAAGCAGATGTACTATAATTGAATTAGAAATGTCCCCAAGAAGACTGAATCTGAGGTTAGCAGTAGGGAAATTTGAGAAACAATCCAGTTCTTATCACTGAAGAACCCTCAAAAAGCTGAGGCATTGGCAAGATAAAATGTCTTCATTTCAGAAGGAGGAATGAAATGGAGCTAAAACTGTCAGGTCAGTTGAAAGACTATTAAAGCATCTGCCCTGGCTGGTGTGGCTCATGTTAATAGGAAGACCCAAGGTCAGGGGCTCCCCTTCTTGGTTCTTTCCTTGCTTCCAAGAGAAATCAAGAAAGAGACAACACATATAGTAAAATTGAAATAGCAAGTTTGTTTATGGTAAAGACTTGAGCAAAAAGGCTGCAGGTGGGCACTCAGCTGACCTGAGAGCCCTGACTATTTGGGGTTCAGGAGTTATATAGCTAGCTTCTAGGCACCCCTCTTTCTCCCCCTTCTAGACTTTGAGGTCAATTCACAAAGGCTTTCTTTCTCAGCTAGTAAAGGCTTTCTGTCTTAGTAAAATTGCTACAGAGCCTCCCTTTCCCAGTACAGGGTCTCAAGGACTCCCCTCCTCCTGCTCTGCCTTTGCCTGTGATATTAGGAATGCCTGTCAATGTTACTGGACTGGACTCAGGGCTGCTTAATTAAAGCATGAGACATGTCGTCCTCCTCCTTCCTGCCGTGGTTTACTCTCCAGCCTAACAGCTCATTTGGTCGGGCATCGTTCAGCAAAGAAAAAGTATCTGGTTCGATTCCAGGTCAGGGCACGTGCCTGAGTTGCAGGTTTAGTCCCTGGTCGGAATGCCCATGAAAGGCAAACAATCAATGTTTCTCACATCGATGTTTCTCTCCCTCCCTCCCGTCCCCTCTGTCTAAAAATAAGTAAATAAATAAATAAATGTTAAGAAAAGAAAGATTATTAAAGCATCAAACTGCTAGACCTGTACCCTCTAGAGCCAGCCAGCCCGCTGCCTCTCCATCAGCCTGCAGAAGCTAGGACACGAGGCACATTAGAGGCTACTGTACTGAAAGAAGGCTTAAATGGAAGTTTGTGTATGGGATTTAAAGGCTTTCTTTTTCCCCTGAGCTCCTGGGCACTGATGACCTGACATTGACCTTCCTGGCAGAGGGCCAGCAATTGAAGACATCTCTAGGGAATCTTACCAGCCTAAGACAAAAGACTGAAGGTTGCCCCCTGTTAATGAAACAGGCTGGCCAGAACACCACACGGGAGATTTCTCAGCCACCAAGTCCTACATGCCCACAGACATTCCCCATTCTTAGGAGAGCCCAATTCTTAAACTTGAAAAAACAGCCCGCCAAATGTCCATACATAAGGAAAGCATTTCATATAAAAGACATCCAAATAAAACAACAGAAGAAAATGTCTTGGAGGAAACTACTCAGGGAGAACAGAACTTTAAAAAACAAAGTTATTAATGTCTTTAGGTAGAATAGGGCATCCATGGACACACAGCAAAAGTGCTCTTATAAATGTAAGGTACCCACAAAAATAAGTAACAATATGAAAGTTGGAAAATAATTGAAATCTCCCAGGAAAAAAGATGAAAAATAGAGAAAATTCTAGGAGTTGGAGAAACAGGAAATGTTGGCCGCACAGTGGAACAATTATAATTGTTTTTTTCTTTACTTTGTGAGAAATTAGCCCAACAGCCCAAGAGTATTTATATGTAGCTTTTTAATGGTCTTTCCTTGGCCTTTTAAAATTTGGGACCAGAATTCTAAGATGTTAATTTCATAGTCAAAATTTTCATATAACTTTTTTTTAAATCCTCACCCAATGATATGGTTTTTATTGATTTTAGAGAGAAACTTTTATGTAACAGAAACATTGATCAGTTGCCTCCTGGATCAAACCTGCAACTTAGGTATGTGCCTTGAATTGAACTTACATGTAGATATAGATATCGTTTTTACTAAATTACATTTACCGTATGTTCATTAAAATGTAAATAAATGTAAGAGTCCTACCACTATGAAAATCATTCAACAGTAACCATTTTTCCTGTAATATAATTAGGGTTCCAAAAAGATTGGGTATCTGTCTTTCTACCTTGATGTAGATCAGTATTTAATTAAAGTCACCAGAAAGAACTCATAGTCTGGTTGGGACCAGGTCTGTTTTTTTTCCTAAAATAAATAAATAAAAGAATTTATTTATTTTTAGAGAGAGGGGAAGGGAGAGAGAAAGAGAGAATCGTTGTTCGATTGCTTCTTGGAAGCCCCAAACCAGGGACCTGGCCTGCAACTCAGGCACATACCCTGACTGGGAATCAAACTGGCAACCTTTCAGTTCACAGGACCGTGGCTCAACTCGCAGAGCCACACCAGCCAGGGTTCTGCTTGTTTTTCTTTCTACAATATTTTTTATATTTCTTTCTGACTTCATGCACAACTTCAGTTTTCCCCATATAACTATAAGCTAAATCAATTCCAAAGAATCAGAGCTATTAGTATTAAGGAGTATCTATTGGGAAAAAGGTATAATACTCTTAATTAAAACAAAACAAAAAAAAAGTTGCTTTAAAAAAAAAAAGTCTAGGAACCTAACTTATAAATTTAAGAAAGAACAGAGAAACAGAGCGGAGAGAATCTTTTTAAAAATTCAAGAATATTCTTCAGAACCAAAGGATATGTGTTTCCAAAACAACAGGGCCCATCAAGTATCTAGCCAACAGATCAAATTAGACCTCCGCCAAGATTCTTCTTCACAAAATTTCAGAACATTGAGGGCAAGAAAAAGATCCTGGAAGCTTCCACAGGGAAAAAACCAGTTTTATGCAAAGGATGGAGAATCATAATGACTTCAGTCACCTCAATAGTAACACTGAAAGTTGGAAGATGATGCCTTCTAAATTCAGGGGAAAATGCTTTCTTTAACCCACAATTTAAGTTCAAACTGTTAACTAAGTATAAGGGTAGAAGAAAGACATTTTCAGACATATAAATTCTCAAAAAAGTAATCTCTTGTGTACTGTTTCTTCAGAAGATACTGGAGGATTTGCTGTCAAAAGAGGGCCAGTATGGGGGGAGGGAGGGACTAAAAAGAAATGCATATCATCCAGCAGAAGAGTAAGGCCAGTTCCACAGATGCGGGTGAAGGGTGATGCCCTAAACCTAGAGTTTACCGCCCATGCCAGGAGGCTTTGAGAGAAATGTCTTCCAAGAAGCTGAAGCCTCATGTACATGTGTGTTCACAATTTGAAAATTGAATTAGGGATGAATTCCTAGAAATTAGGAAAGTATTTTCAAAAGGCAATTATTAAAAATAGACAAGCACTGACTGTTGTGGTTCAGTTGGTTGGGTGTCATCCTGCAAAGCAAAAGGTCACCGGTTTGATTCCTGGCCAGGGCTCATGCCTAGGTTACCGTCTGGTCTGCAGCTGGAATGCATGCAAGCGGCAACCAATGGAAGTTTCTTTCATGCATCTGTCCCTCTTTTTCTCCCCATTTCCCCTCTCTCTAAAAATAACTAATAAATAAAATTTTTTTATAAAAGTAAACAAAATTTTCCAGAAAAGGAAAAATAATTATAATTGAGTGTATAGCTAAGATCAAGCTAAGGGAATAGGATTTACTGATTATTGCTCAAAGGAAATTGCAGTATAACTCTGTGAGTAGGGTTGGAGTAATGGGAATGCTTGTGATGGTGGAGGTGAGGTAGTTAGAGTTAAATTCTTATTTTCCTTAGTAGGAATCAATAGAGAATGCCTAAAACTGAAAGGGAAAAAAGAAGGAATACAAGTAAATTGTTTAGCAGATTGTTTAGCTATATGAAGATAAATACCAAAAGAACCAGCTAAAAGTTGGAGGTGGTTTCCTGGGGTGGAAGGGGTGGGGATACTGACCTTTTTTTTTTTTTTTTAAAGATTTTATTTATTTTTAGAGAGCGAGGAAAGGAAGGAGAAAGA